GATACTCTGACGATTATACTTAACCCATTGTTAAACTGTCGTGCAATCTCTGTTAAAACGGTGAATTTCATTCTGATTCAGTTAACCGTTTGACTGCGGAACTCGAACGGTTGATTTTTAAAAATTGATTTGACTAAATAAATAAATAAATACTGAAGCAGAGATACTATTCGAATTGTTATCGGTATGAAGAAATAAAATGAGTAAGCTAATTAGCGAGACATATCGTAATGATAATCAAACTTAAAAACTTACAATCAGTGAAGTAAGGACGAAGGCTTTAAATAAAAATTTCCTTCTGGAAGGTAGAATATTTGAACGTTTGTTTAGTAGTTGTTGGCTTAAATATCGTAAAGGAACAAAAGCTTTGTAATGCTGCATATACAGTGTAAGAAGTATTCGTACAGTAATTAATTCGAAATAAATGGTTCCTGTACGAATACTTATTACACTGACCGTGTGTATATTATACTTGAATAGCTTCACGAGAAGATACGTAGCAAAACAGAAGGAACCTGGATCTATTCTTGTAAAGATGGCAGGAAGACGTTAAAACGATAAACCCATTTCTATAAAGATGGTGTACCGACGTAATAGGATGAACCTATTCTTGTAAAGATGGTGTGGACGTTAGTAGCATAAGTCTATTTCTATAAGGATGGTTTAGAGACGTTAATAGGATGAACCTATTTCTATAAGGATGACGTAACGATCGTGATACGATCAGAAGAAAGACTCCATGCTTTGCCTTTGTTCTACAAATTGTAAGTTTCTAAATTTAGTTCTAGTTGTATCGTACATTACTGACTTGCTTTCTTATCGTATGCTTTGATAATATTTTTCGTCTTCTTAAATTTAAAAACTGTTAGCTTCGTCGATAAATAAATGATTACATTCGATTTCTCTTTTGGACCCGCTTCAGAGTATTATAAAATACAAAAAAAAAAAAAAAAATGAAATAAATAGAAAATACATAATTAAAATGTAGTACTACAATACATATAAATGTATAACTACGATATATATATATTTTTATATAATTAACATAATATATTTTGTATATTTTTATATAAATATACATACATATATATTTTTAGAACTACATTAAATGTACTTTCTATAATGATTGTATAATTATAACTGTATTATAATCGTATACTGTATGTATAACTATACATATAAACATACATACTTTAAGTATTTTTAAACATTCTTAGAGAATATAGTATTGATATCATTAGAAGAACAGGATTGCGTTCAATCAGGAATACTTTGTTATCCTTCTTCATGAATTGCGAAGTAGCCACGAAGTAAAAGAAAACACCAGCTTTTTTGTCAGCTAACAAACGACATCTGTCCAAGATAATCTGGGAAACAGCGAGGTTCCATTTGTCTTGGATAACCAGAGAAGCGTCGATAAAAGAAAGACTATTCTCCGAGTAGTGTGAGGGAATCTTTGGAGGCTGCAACAAGTAGTAACAGTTCGTCTTTGGGCGGACCAAATTCCTGAAAAAAACGCGAAATACGAGCAAGTGTGTTTAGATCATTTACTACACCGACGGAAGCAGTTATGTTTTTTAATAAAATAAATAATCTAATCGTCCTTTTTAACAATAATTTGAATTAATCAAATTTCGTATGTATTAGATTATTCAATTTCAAACTCATCTTATTTAATGTCCTCTGAAACTGTTTCTCTTATGGATTCGCTTCAATTGCTGCCAATTTGGTGAAGATAAAAGTAAGGATGCAACTTTTGAACAATTAACGCTCTCAAGAAATGGGCTCAGACAAATGTTTATGTTCGTTGAATTAATTTTTGAGAAATATCATCTTATAGAGGTACAATGAGACGATTTTATACTTTTAAACTTTTTTATACGTACAGTTTATTCATAAGACAGTTATTTTCGCAAATGAAAATTGTAAAGTTCGTGGTAAAAATTGAATTTCAGGAAGAATCTAAATATTTGCTGTGGTATACTTAACTTGGAATGCTTGCAGCTGTATTTTACTGTCAATCGTATAGAAGATTGATGAACTGTGTAGTAAACATCTAGAGTGGAATTTAGGACACAAGCTGAAGTAGATTTATCGTAAACTTCCTTTACGCGATCAATTTTATCGTGAAGATATCATTAAATCGAAGGCAACAGAAAAGACAAATAAATCTCCTTTGATTGATGTAGCAATGCATATGGATTTACCGATTCTGTATTCAGTTCAAGTGCTTCGTACTTTCATAGTTCCTTTGGAGCTTTACGTTGACGTCAAAAGTATCAATACGTCTAAAAGGACTCTTATTTGAATATTACCAGGATCATATGTGCTTCTCTGTTTACTTCTGACGTTTTTCTCTTTTCACTAAATTTTAATTAACTCCATTCCATTGGTTCCTGGTTTCAATTAAAATTGGGTTCATCTCTTACAATGACTAACGTTCATGCACAGATCGTCATTATTCCAAGAACGTAATGGGCATACTCGATACTCTCGCTCGAGCGATTTTATATATCGGAGGGTGAAGAAATGAGCTCCCATAGAGTCCAACAGTTTCGAGAGTATCGACGAAGCAGTTCGTTCGTCGCCTTTGTAACATCTGCACCGCCTACGAATACTTGCGGTTATTCAGTCTCTCGCCTATAAAACCATATTTCCCGAGTATTCGTCAGAATATTCGATGGTTCCTTTAGATGATAGCTAGGGGTGAAAGCGAAACGAGGGCTCAGAATTTTCCCCTCGACATACTTGTTCCCTTCCTGAAGAAACTTTTGGCTCCTAGCGATAGAAATTTCGACGGTGCACGACGACTTTAGATGGGGTACGGCGAATCGATTTATTGGCGGAATAAAACTTCACGGGAAAAATTTCCTTAGAAATTCGAAGAAGCGCGCGGAGTTAAGAGCGTAGCTCAGCCTCAGAATTTTTAGAATCGATATTTCTTCAACTTCATATTTTTAGGAATCGAACAACCGCGATCGTCGAGCGGTTTATCCTTGGGTAAGATATTTTATTAAGCGTATCTAGGTTTAGTCCACGTTTCATTAAAAGGGATTTCTAGTTGTGGGAATTATACTCGATTGTGTAAACAAATTTGCATTCTTGTTGACGAATGTTTATCGTTCAAAACTTTGAAGTCTGTGGTCGAAGAGAGTTTATTTCCTGAAGTGCTTTAAATTTAACAAAAGTAAAACTGATATCGCAATTGTCGAATAATTAGGTACTTAAGTCATGTATTTGTGATGTAATTCTTATGGCGCGATGATTTGTATTATTGCTATATTACCGATATTTTTATTTCAATTCTTTTAGCCAATATTCTTGGTGCTTTATAGTTGCAGCCGCGCGAAATTTACTGTGGGACATGAGTCGTAAATTTAAAGGAAAAAACGTTAAGTGTGCTGCTTCTTAGCTTAAAGTACACTTTGTTTCGAAAGTTTTCGTGTTTCGGGAAAATTAATGTAGTAGATTTAGGCAAAAAGACAGTCTCAGGTGTCCTTTGAAAAAAATGGATTTATGGTTACAGATAGAAACGGCGACTTGGAGTTATATTCTTCTTGTTGTTATTTGTTTATTATCTCAACTACCACATTGTTAAATACGGTTAAAATAGATAATATTGATCTATTAATATTAATTACAGAAACGTAATACTTAAAATTATTTAATTAACTTACATTTCCTCTGAAAGTTTTGAAATCATTTTCAGATTTATATACGTTGAAATTACAATAAATATTAACATAATTTAAGTCTATGTAGGATTAATAACGAACAAGACCACGACGACAAGTAAAAAATACCACTTGATAACAACAAGTCAAGAGATCAAAACAGAAATTGTGGGAAAAAGACACGCAATTAATATTACATTGCCAAAACTAACCATGCTGTTATTTAAAGTTTTACTTACATAAAAAAGTTGACGAGCGATAGAAAAATTCCAAGTATTTTGATGTTATTCGAAGTATCTTGACTAATTAAAGAAACGGAAAAATGAAATTGCTGCGTCCAAATGTACAAAATTCCGTTCTAAGGAGCTCGGTATGGTAAGGACGGGAATGAAAGATGAAGACAAGACTTGGCGTCTCCTGGGCGAATAAAGAAGCTGAATAAGGGTGAAGACGGAGGCGGTGCGGAATTTCAAGTATGACGCTCATAATGGTCTAGCACATATTAGTTTATCTCGTAATGATCCCGACGAAGCAGCTCGCACTCCTTAGTAATTCCTTCCTTCCTTCGATGCTGCGTGCTCGATGGAATTCGTTCTCGGTGACCTCGAGAATGAAGCAAGGTGTCGCTTGAAATTAATTATCGAGATCAATAAAAGCCGCAGTGAATGGTGCAGTATGTTAAGGTCACAAAGCGGTCTCTTCTTGGTGGTAAATTAGGTTATTGCACAAATAAGCGCGGCGCCGTTTAAATTACTCGCATACTTCAAACATTGGACAGCACAGTTACTTTCGAAGTGGATTTGAATGATACCTTTACCGTGTACTTTTTGTCTTATATTATCTAAAAATATCGACCTCATTTAAGTTGCTAAGAAAAGAATAAATTCCGACAGAAACGCAAAGGAAATATCGATGTGTAGTTTAGGTTTTAATTAGAAGGAGTTAAATGTACAGAAATGTACATATGATGTGTAAATATATATTTATTTTAGCTTTTCAGCCAAGAAATGGACTTGGTTACAAATCGTCCATCCATTTTCACATTCTCACACACTTCTCCACACTCCTGCCTTAGATACCAATCTTAATATTAGTAACACTTAACATACTACAAAGGCTTAACAATAAACTACCGTAGGCTCTGTATACCATTCTAAGTTCTAATCCGTATCCTTATCCTTGGTCTTCTGCTATATTTCTCTATTTTCCTCTCCTTTCCTTTCGCTGTTTCTCTATCTTCTCTACCAATGTTTCCTCCCTTAATTCCCCTAAAAAAATGTACATACGATTACAATTAAATACAACAGAACGTCGTATTTGTTTCAGGTGATTTCTGCGTGCAGTTGTCCAACGAACAATTTCGGATGCTACGCAGACAGGAACAATCCGATGTTCATGGGAATGCGTTTCTGGCAGAAGGCTGAGCCAACTGGCTCCGCGTTGTATCGATTCGTTTTCGAACATCCTAGTTTTCGGCGCATTGAGAAGATTGTCGCGATCTTATTGTGAAGCGGGGACGAACACAGCCGACATCTGCCCTGAGAACGACTTTATGCCGGTAACCACGGTCGGAAAACAAAACTCCAAGGAAGGCGCAACAGGGAGCTAAGAGTATTTTCTCCGAAAGCTGTGTGGCACTCAACTTCCAAGATGTTGCCTATGGCAACATCCTTAGTAAAAAAGGTAAACTGTAGTACTCATATACTGTCGCTGATTTCTTTCGGCATTGCGCAATTCAGTGTTGTCAAATGAGAATTGAATAAATCAAACGCTCTTTGTATTAATCAATTAGAGACAAGTAATGGTAATTGATAGTTTCGTCATGTTGGTTTTCGCGTCCGTGTATTGTAACGTTTATGGTTAAAATTGTTTATGCAGATCACATAGTGAAATCAAAGAGGTATCGTAAAATAGAGTGGTACTTGAACACGTAACAGTTACGACTTTATGTCAGTAATCACGAAAGGGAACATGTTTTACCTCTACACGCTGATTACAGAACATTTACAGCGTATTTAGTTTATGCTTGCACCACGACGCGAGAACATGGCCATATTTCTTTGAATCTCGGCGATCTGACACGAGTTTAGAAGTAACTGACAGTAAATTATATTCCTCTATCTGTTGGTAGTCCGCCTCGAGTATAGATTAAACGCTATCGTTTCAAAATCGTGACAAGATTCTAGATCAGGTCGTGGAGATGAAATTTCATCGCGTTGTAACTATCCCAGGGGACGTTCTTTTTTAATATCGAGTTTGTTACCTGTCGCATCAGATTTTCTTACTTTGCAAAGCCTTCGGAATCAATTACTTCAAACTCAACGGACCAGATGACTGCAAAGAGAATAATCGAATTAATAAGCTTTATATTTCATTTCTGTTTTCCGACTTTGTAGATAGCGGTGGAATATTTATTCTAGATTATGCAAGCAGTGCGCATATTGGCAAAAGAAAGTACGAGATCGAATCGAAGGGAAAGTGAACAGATGAACAGGAACCTATGTTTGTCTTATACAAATGTAAAGTTTCAAAATTAAACAATAAAAATCATAGCGATGCCTATTTGTCTTTCTGTCGTATCATAAATTATTCGTTAGGAAAATAAGTGAAATTTTTCAAGCAATAACCTAACATTAATTGATACGACGGTATAGCAAATGTCTTTACAAAATTATTCAATTATAATTTAGCCATCGGATAAGAAGTACGACTTGAATATCATTCGTCCTATTTTTGATACATACAAAGAACATTTGGATTCTGTTGATGCCTTATTACATAATTACGCATATTAATAATAATGATATTGATCGTGTACGAACGAATACAATATTTTGTATTAAATAATAATAATACAGATAGCTTACAGAGGTTAAAAAAGAAACTGTTTTCGTCGTTGTTTTGGAAATTTCAAATTACTTTATAGTTAGCATAATTTGCTTTCTTTGGTAATTTGAATAATTAATTAACAAGAAGTAATTACATGTCAGTATCAAGAGTAATTACTGCGGTTCGGCCTAAATCTGCTAGACTCTCCAGTAAGGCTTGCTTGGCAAGCCTTGCTTTAGGTCTGATTAATCGTCTAAACGGTTTCAAAGATGCGGAGCATTGATATCAAACTTCGCGTCAAGAAGAGATCTTAACATCAACCATTAGGCCAGTACACACCAGTAAATGCTACATTCCCAGAACTGAATTATATACAGAGATTGTGGGAACAAGGCCAGATTATAATTAATTTCCACACGCAGAACACCGATACAAGAAACTGTTGCATGATCTAATCCCTTGGACGCTAACCGCGCTTATGCGCGTCCAGTCAATTGGTACGCTATAACGATAGGATCAATTTAATTGTAATACATACTTGTTAATACCGATACGTACAGAATAGATACGAAAATAAGTCATCGTTGGTGCTTCTTGACATTTCTTGCAATTTCACTACAATTTGAGTACCAAGTGTCATTATTATACTGCGGATGTTTATGTAAATTCATATCTTTACATATGTCGACTCGGTCGTAATGAGATACATAGAATATAAAAGTTTCCTGTTTTTGCAATTGTAAATGTTATTAAATTTGATGAAAGTAATCCAAATGAAAAATAAATTAATCCGGCGTTCCGTTAAAAACACGAGAGGTGGGTTCTGTTTGTTCTCCTGCGGTTGACCTAGAAAAATTTGTTAAATAATTAGTTTTTCTGTTCCATTTAATTCAAAGGTGGTATATATTGTAGGAGTCTAAACGAAAAATAAGACACGGGGATTCGAAAACACTCACGATCCTCGGATCCACAGTCGACCGCTTTACCTACGCGACCAATCCCGTACCCTACGTTTCGCGTTCTTATTTGACTCGTTATTGTTGGGTATGGGAGGCGCGGATACTACAATATCTATCGTGGCTTTACAGAAAACAGCTTATTTAAATCGCTGTGAATACAATACCGTTTCCATGCCCATAGTTTGTTCGTGCATTTTTCAGGAACGTGAACATCGTCACAAAAGACGATTGATTCGCGAAATCTTTTCTTTTTTTATCTACCCGGTTCATGTTATCCGATATATTCGGTTCGTTCTGTTCCAATTGCGTATCCTCTTTTTCTTTATACTAATGCAAACTCACGGCGTACATTGAAACGAAATCCAGAATAATCATGAAAAAATAAAAAATACTGGAGGCATGGAATTTATCATTTTTTTTTTTTGTATATAAAAAGAAATTATACTATAGCGTTACTCAAGGAGCTGTAATCATACGCGAGAAAAAGATTTTTCTTCATTTTCATTTCGCATCACAAATAATTGTGGAACGTTAAAAGGTGGAAAGCTCGTGGAACAAAATGGTTCGTACGTAATTCCAGAAAATATATCTTTGAATTTTTCTTAAAAATTGTCGCGAACTTTTTGGAGAACCCAATATACACATATATATATGTAAGAATCACTATACCATATTTTCTCTTGCGAGCTCAAGCGATAAATTCACCACCTCTTTACCTTACGAGCTCCTGAGAGATCATTATTTCAAATGTCAGAATAAGCAAAAGTAATGGCGATTTTTCTGGAATCTACACCACCGCGCGGCGTTATGTGCCGCAGTACGATTAGTATGCATTACTAACCAGAAGGCCACTGTACAATGTCAGCCGTTTAATATTCACCGTGAATTTGCATACCGGGATTCCATCGTTCGCTCAGATTAGGGTAACATTCCTCTCGGCCTCTTTGGAATCCTCCCAAAATCCAGGCCTGCATTACACCATGCTGACGGATCGAAGAACGAAGGACAGAACGGTATGGTTGCGTGCATGCATCTCTAAGAGAGCCACCGGAAATCCATGTATACATGCTACAGCAGTGTTTCTCAAACATCACTTTTCCACCAATTTTCCAATGAAGACAAACTCTCGGAGCACCGTCTAACATTAATTTCTTATTTTTGGTTGTACAACTAGGGAACTGTTCATTGATCAAATTTCTTTATGCCTAAAAGATAGTAACATGAGGTAATCGTTCGTCAACACGTTGATTGCGGCGTTCGAATTCGTGGTTGCTACCACGCGGCGGAAGGAACGGAAAGAACGGCGGGTAGCAATAATAGAGGTTGAGAAGCAAGACGGCGAAAAACACACTTTTTCTTTTCCGAGACTGAAACGGCCGAGAAGGTACACAGACGGACTAATGATGAGACCATATAGCAAGTTTCAAGTCGAAACATCGAAAATTCAAGGGTGGGGAGCGTTCAGGATAAAATGGGGTGTTGAAGAAAATGTATACACTCGATCTACGTTAAGACATCGAACTTTATTATTCGAGGGATAAAAACCGAAATGTCCGAAGACTCGCAACATGGAATTCTCATCCGGATGAGAGTTCCCTTATCGGACGACTGTCCCGCTCTGAATAGAATTGTCTCGCGAAGTGACGACCGAAGACGCCTCGCAATACACCTTTCTCGTCCTCGTTTCCACCCCGTCGCGGTGTCTTCCCCCACAGCCTCGAAACTAGGGGTAGTTGGTCGCCTGGTGACTCACGGAAGGCCCAACGCGCTCGTGGATTTTTTCGAATTTATGACATGGCCGGCCGCCGAGCGTCGGAACCATGCGGAATTCTAAAGACCTCGAAACGGTCACATCTGGCTTGATATTGACGGCAATCAGCTACAAACCGAAAGCGACATATTTCGCGAGCATGTCATAAACTATTGTTGGCCCTCCGTTCAGTTCTCCGCGTCGCTCGAGGAAGAATATTGACGACCTAACGGTACACGATTACAAAGGAGCCTAAATTCTGCCGACACTCGAGTTCTATCCGGAACACTATGTTAACAAGTCTTTGGTACCTGTACGAGGTCATTATAATCTCCCATCTTAGCGGAAAACCACTCGCATGAAAATTACTCACGTGAAAACTAAATTATTCACCCTCAATGTGGAAGAGATACGGGGGTGACCAGTTGCGAACCTCTGCGTTGGTGAAGTCTTTGAGAATAAGACAAAGCAAGACAGAGATAGTCGGGGAAACGGATAGGAAGGCAGATAGGCGCGGAGTGACAGAGACAGATGGATAGAATGGCCAGCAGCGTGCCAGACGAGCTTCGATTTGCATACCGATTACAAGATTGGCTCTTGACCTGCCTATCGTCTGAAGTTATTTACTCGCAATGTTGCGATGAAGGTCAAGTGAACTATTCTCAGAGTATCCGGCGTTAAAAACAGAAGGAACGTATACGAGCACGTGATAATTATTAGGTCGGTCAAAATATCGATCCTTACTACTAGTCACTTCTGAAAGTCTCGATGTATTTCGTAAGCCGGTTCTATTAGCCGTAGTAGCTGGAGGAAGAGAGTTGTAAATATAGGTCAGCGTGTGTTTGACTTTTGAACTATCCCCCTCGTTACTATACAGAGTGTTCCAAAAGTCGGGGAGGAGCCGGAAATTGGGGGTAGCTGAGACGATTCTGAACGACAATTTCCTTTGCAAAAATGTCGGTGGGGGCTTCGTTAAGGAGATATTAAGCAAAATCAGTTGGGACAGTGATTCCCAGCAGGTGTGTACGCAACGAAATCGTGCAAGTGTCGCGAAAAATGTTTAATACATTCACATCGTTTTTTAGACGGTAGATACGTTCCTCAGAAATCGATGTAAAGAGAAACGTGTAAAAAAAGAAACATAGATGATCGGTTGACAGGTTTGTGACCACTTGGCATATCTGAGTTGAAAAATTCGATAATTGTCTTAAACTAAATGACCATGACTACGGCTTGAAGTAGGATCTTATTTGGTATCTCAACAAATTAAGAAAATTGTGGAACTTGGAAAAAAAAATTTTATAATTAAAAATATTCCATTACTTACGATCAGAATACCTTTTGAAATTAAAAAGTATATCGCGTTAAAGCGAGACAGTATATTTGTACATTAAAATCAATTTTCCGATAAAAATTGCTTTGGTTTGCGCGTATTCGATTAGAGTAAAAAAAAAAAAGAATCCATTTAATATTCGTCGCTCAAGAGGTCAACAATTTTTATGTCACCATAATAAGTTTTCTCAACATAGCGAGTACTTAAAGAGAACTTTTTGATCTACCTCTATAGCTAGGTTTCCGAAATATTGCTCAATAAGTCGACAGAATTATCAAAGTCACTTCAGAGTGACGGTATAAACTTGATAGTTTTATAACTAGACATTTCAAACCACTCACGAACTACAGTTGTTTCGCTCACTTTATGGGACAAAACACGCCTCCGATGGAGATTACGCGGGAGGAGCTGCGCCGAGTTTCCGAAGTCAGCGATTCTCTACTCTACGGCTATCTATCGTGAAATACAACTTCAATTATGACGACCGCTCCCCTTTAGGAGGAGTAGACAATGAAATCGCACCCAGCGTAAAATCCCCTTTGGGAATTAATTCTGCGGAAATTAATGCGAGTCCTGACTTTTTACTTTTACAGAATATTAATACGTATCTTGAAGACTGTTAAAACATCTATTTATCTGTTATACATATTACGTGTAAAAATTAATTCCGTGCCTGCACTTTATGTTCAATGACTATAGATAAGGTAGAAATACTTACTTGCCAGAAATCCATCTCTAATGTGAATTTTTATGGGTAGATAACCTAAGGTTCAACCTGACGAAGATTAGAATATTATCTACGTGTTCGAAGTTCAATAGTTCAAATAGTAGTTCGAAGTTCAAACAATTTTGTGTACTGCTGTTCTTCTAACAAACTGCAAGTGTACTTGATAATTATAATAACTGTAGGAGTATAATAATAAGCAAAATTTCATGGATACTAAAGTTCGCATAGATGCGGCGTGACGGTCCTCAGGTTGAGAATTACGTTGTACGTATAGAACCTATAGATACTGTTGTAAACGTCGGTTGCGACTCTAGCACCGCGCATCCGTTTATTATAAACCATAACTCAACAGCAATTATTTTCTGCCGTAGTTCAGTTCGGCAACCGCATCGGACGAAGGCGGCACCGCCTTCAGCAGATGGAGGCAGTTGGGAAGCGACGTGATACGAGATGGTAAGTTTTGTTACCGTTGCCATTTAGAACCAACTTAAACGTGGCGAGACTAATTAATGATTGCCACGTGGAAAATATTCTATGAATATCGAAAACCCAGTAGTAAGTCAATCGTGATACTAGCAAACAAAAATGTTTACATCTCGGAAACGGTTGACCTTTGGACCTATGTTTACTGAAGCTTTTTTAGTGTGTCCTATACACCATATAAATATTGAATCCCTTTTTTTTTTTTTTTTGAACACCCTGTATATGAATGTTAAGCGGGACCGAGTGCTTGTGAGAAACGCGCGAACCGCGCGGTTTCCTTCTAGTGATGAGGACAAGAGGTGCCACCACACTAATGAAACGAAAAAAAAAAAAAAAAAACGTTTTTGGTCAACGTGATATATCAAACTAATGAGGTTTCTCCGTGCTTCCCATTTAGATCTAGCCATAGCGCGGCAGAAAATCCATCCTCTCGTTTGTTTCGCGTGTTTCAACGAGTATCGTTGAAGCAAATTCAACGAACGCGCACTGGCGCGGCGTGAGAAAACGCGACCAACCGGAACAAGCCCGCATAAATAGCGCGCACGTTTTTTACTTAATTACTGCCGGGTCGAGTTTAACAGGGAAACGCGACGACGAGCGGGAAACCGAGTGCCCGAGGACAATCGCGAAACAACGGATTTCGTTACTTTTATATAATCCTCCTATTTAAAGGCGTCGCAATTTGTTTAAAATAACGCGTGACAGGTGTAATTCACACGGTTTCCTGGAACGTGAAATGCATTTGTAATTTGAATGCAGTTTTTCTTGCGAACGTGGAAAGAGTGAAGTCCTTTTCTTTTTCTTCGCTATTTGTGCATTTTTCCAAATTTTCCTTTCATCTACGAATTCATTTCGTCAATTGTATAGACGCCAGAGTACTAGGTGCTTTATTAGATGTGTATTTAACTTTCGTTTATTAGTATTAATCAGTAACTATTGAAATCGAGGATTCCTTGAAAACGAGTTACACAATTATTTATGTTTTTCAATCTTTAAGGAGGAGTACTTACGCTTGTTAAATTCTCGTATTTTCCGTAATTTTTAGTCGTAGCACCAGGAAACCGGGGTCGTAAGGAATGTTGAAGTTGTCAAAAACGCCATACCAATTACTGGGTGAAAAAGATGAGGAGACGGAACAAGAAAGCCGACTCATCTTGTGTAGAGAGGGAAAGACTCACCCTGAAAAATTTGTTCTCGATGCCTGACAGATATTTGCAATTTGGAAGAGACCCCGCGTCTCGGTTCCTTCGACGAGGCGAACTAACCTACTTTCTAACGATGCTCGGTCTCTTCGTTAGAGTCATTCTCATCGAATTTAGCAAATGAAATAAACTCTAACTCCGAGCCGAGAAAACAGTTTTCCTTGCGACACGAGGCATTTGTCTCGCTCGTGTTCGCCTTCCGTTCCCTATAGATACTTTTATTGCGGGTCCTTTGGAAGCCTGTCGAAATAAAAAGGGAAACTTTACCAGCTGGTCTTGAAATACTCCCCTTTTCTACGAACCTGCAAGCGCGAACTTCCCTTGCGTTACGTACTTTAATCGAATTTATACGAGATGCAATCGGTGCTACTCGAACGTCATGTGTTCTTGGCTGAGTAAAATGGATTTGACAAAAAGCCAAACATTTATGTCACAGCAATATCATATTCCCCATCATTGTTCAAATAATAAGTATTGTTAATAATTAATTTAACTATTGTCGGAAATTAATATTTATTCATATTTATTCTGTTACTACCCATCCATTTCATAGCCTTACAGCATCCATCATTGTTCAAATAATAAGTATTGTTAATAATTAATTTAACTATTGTCAGAAATTAATATTTATTCATATTTATTCTGTTACTACCCATCCATTTCATAGCCTTACAGCATTTTTCACCATATAACGGAACATGGATTTCGGCTGTTCGAAAATGAAAAGATTTTCAATCTTAAAAATTAATTAATTTGTTGTGATTGTGATCGACTATACAAGTATTTTCACGAGCAATAATGCTTCTCTATGGTTGCACATTAATTTCATGAATAACTGTTCGATGTTATCAAGTTGCATCCCAATTGATAAAAATATCGTATAAACTTTTCTCTGATACTATGTAGTAAGATTGTTTCACTTCAACATATTATAAAAGCAATCTCTTTATAAACTTTGGTACTTCCATGGTGAAACAAAAACAATTTTTCGTACAGAATTTCATACTTAGAGTGCTTTGCAAAAGTTCTGGACAGTTACGCTTTTAGTTCTCCATTGGAGCGTAGAACGCCCCTATAAATAAGAGGACTGCTTCTTGATCGTACCTTTTATCCTTTCTCTACATCATGCTTTAATCCCGTAATATCAAAAATTCATGACTCCATAAAAGAATTCATTCACTCCCAACTGTTAAAGATACGAACTCTCGGTTTCTTAGTTTTTATGTAATTCTCTGTTTTATTATTTAAAATCTAAGTTTAATTTGTTTACATCGTAAAGATCCAAGTCGAGAACAACTTTAAATGTTTATGTGCTCCGACACCGATATAATTGGCACATTTGACGAGGTGTAATTCGAAATATACTTCGTGTACTGCTTAACCCATTCACTGCCAAGAAAAAAGCGTTTTCCCTTAAGCACCAAGATTTTATACAGATGTATAAATCTAGGGGATTCGTGTTTATTACCACTTCCAACACACGGTTCCTTTCACGCCAGGTGTAGTCCACGCTCTTCAACGCAGTACCCGATTTTTTACCATCATTTTACCCTTGTGAAAAATGGTCAACCATCTTGTATGCTGTAATTCCGCGAAGCGCATCTTGAGCTGTTTCAATGATTCTAAATTAAATTTTAAAAAGAAAATTTACGATCCTCTTTTGCAATAATTCGTGACTCAAAAGACTATAGACTTATCCCTTGAGTAATTGCAATCAATTTGAACTACGACACATCTCGTAGTTAGCAGTGAATAGGTTAACAGAAGCTTTTGTAACTCAGTAACTGTTTCGCATCTGAAAAAATCCTTTTGCAGGATATTTTTAAATATTCTAAAAATTTTTTAAATACAATCTCTCAAGAATCAGTTTTTTGCACCGGTCGAACCAGAATAACCCGTTATATTTGAAAATGTCCTCTTTGAATATAAAAAAAGTATTTTACAGTATCATGATATATTCGTACGTGAAGAAGAAATGTAAGATGTGTTTGAAAGTTGCTATCTTTCTCCTTTTCGAGCTCCATCAACTTCTCTCGACATGTACCACGGCATTTGATTTATCCAACCTCCGACTCGCTCCTAACTCACTCCGTGTTCCATTAATTACCTCGATGATTAACAACACGAATGTGTTTCGAGATCAATTACACCAATGACCGCCTCGATATCAAACGCGCAGGCGAGCATGTGATCCCAATCGTAGGTAGATTAAAACGGAACAGTCTCAAGTGGCATTAATTGCATATTTTGCACACATACGCTGAACAATGGTGGAAACGAAGGGTTGTAATATTGAAAAATAATTCCTATAATACGCCATTGAATTCGTAACTCGTATTTCAGAACCAAAACATAGTTAACACGATACAGCTTAATCTTTTGAACGCGAAGAGCGTATACAGGGTGTCCCAAAGGTCGGGGAGGAGCCGGAAATGGGGGGTAGCTAAGACGATTCTGAACAACAATTTCCTTTGCAAAAATGTCGGATGGGGCTTCGTTAAGGAGATATAAGGCAAAAACTCCGACCAATCAGAGCGCGCGTAGACTGTTCAAGCGGCCGCGGTAGCGAAGGCTACGCGCTAGGCGGCAGCGTCAATGTCCTTCGATGCACGTCGAGTCACTTGTTCGCGTACAAGCGTGGCCGCCAGCGCGTAGCCTTCGCTACCGCGGCCGCTCCAACGGTCTACGCGCGCTCTGATTGGTCGGGGTTTTCTCTTAATATCTCCTTAACGAAGCTCCATCCGACATTTTTGCAAAGGAAATTGTCGTTCAGAATCGTCTCAGCTACCCACCATTTCCGGCTCCTCCCCGACTTTTGGGACACCCTGTATATAGGGTTGTCCGGACGTAACTGTAGACACCCTGTATAATATTAGTATAGATATCGTTTCACTTCAAACATCAAGCTCTTTTTTATTCTTTAGCAAACATTCCTGTCAGCCTATGTGGGTGACGTGGCATTCAACGAGTTAAAATGTTTCAACAGCCGTTTGACTTAAAATAAATGATTAATTCCGAGTAATCGTAAAAATTATTCCAAATTATCAAATTATATATTAATCAAATTATATATTGCCTAATATCTCTTGTTAATTAGTCATCTATCGAACGATGAAGGTATGGCGTGAGAATGTTGGATAAAAACGGTAGATGTTAGTTTCCATGTACGCTTTTTCAAAGCTTCGTACACAATTTCCTAGGACGAATATAGCAATTTATATTTTCTCCGTGATGCTCGAGTGCCTATCAACGAAACGCGTCATCGCTGTCTCTGACGTACATACGATTTTATTTCGCAATTTGCAAATCCACTCCTCTGCCGACGATACAGCAATCAGCGGATGTGTATCGACAGAATACAACGCAGCGAAACGTTTTTTTCAATCGAGTTTTCGAACATTTAACGACCATTCAAACCGAAACTGATATAACAAAAATAATTATCGAGTACTGTTCGAAACGAATGCGAATGGCTCGCTCGATATCAACGTCACAGCACGACAGTTATCTTCGTTCATTATATAATATAAACATTATATTTGAAATATTATATCTCAAGTATTATATTTTTTATTTATCGTAAGTAATGACATTTATTTATTAAGTTAAATAAACAATATCATAATTCCGTAATGTATACCGAATCGATGAAATTTTGAACGAATAATTTTCGTAAATCCGTTGATGATGAGTGAGAGCAAATATTGATAGAAATGCAAATGTTGCTACATTCGTTGTTGCGCGTTATTGTTATCGAAATAAGTAAAAATCGATACGGAAGAGGGTGTTCCAGTGGTAAAGTGATTCATGTTACCAGCAGAATTAGCGTTTACTTCCGAACTATGATGAGTATTTATGCAAAGTTTCATATAAACACTCATTATGGTCTATTGTATCTAGCTTAACTTAATTTCACAAGGAAGTTCGCCCACGTTCATAATGTGCATGATAAAGTACGCATGGCTACAAACACGATGCGCAAACTAAAGTTGTGAGACAAGTATCGTTGCGTGGAAAGCAACGCTTGTATATGAAGAAATTTTTACACGAAATTTTATTCGAATTTTATTAACATTTTCCTACGAGTACAACACCAGAATGAAACTCAGCTATTTTGTAGAGAAAACTTCAAGGGACGCAACGATCATTTTTTTCGCATTTTTAAAAACGCGTCTTCAAGGTCGGATTCGCAAAATAAACATTTATTTATAATTTTACTATCGCAATAATTAGATTTGCTCCAAATAAAAATATATTCAGAAAGAGCGATCCCTCCCGTATAAAATAAAAAAAAAAAAAATACGTCAATAGGATGAACAGTTCCAGAGAAAAAAAAGATTTAAACGTACCACCGATTTTCACGAAAATGGTCGAAAATCACAATATTTGTAGGCTTGTATTTCTCAAACGGTCTCGAAACGAACAAAATGACGACAACCTCCCCGCACCCCCCACAACCCCTCCTAATTTCATGGAATTGTATACAACGTACAGCGAAATTTTCCTAAAAAGCGTTTTCCTTTTACGCTATGCAAATTTTCCTATTCATTTCGAAGCAAGTTTCCCCGCTGTTCAAACGGCTGGCCATGTTAAATGTAATAGCTCCAATAAAACAGGGAACGGTTTCTGCAGCTATCAGCAACAATTACTTGCAGATGTTACGAACAATATAAAAGTTAATGCAGAGTTTAGAGGAGACGCGAAACGATACCGTAATATTTTACAGTCAGACTTATAGAGGCGTGGCGCGCGCGAACTCGTGAAAGTAGAGCATTTCAAATAATAGGATGACGCTTTGCATAAAAGTAAGGAAGCGATGGAACGTGAAATCGAGTTGGGACGGCCATGTACGCCGATAAATTTCACCTTGTGGAAGAAACGAGAAGAGACAGAGGAGAGAATGACGAAGGTGATTGCCAGACCAATTAAGCGATCGGTCTGGCAACCGTTGCATATGGGTACCAGCTTTTTCTTTTCGTTCCGACGCGGTTATGAATTTTCCAACGGCGAAAGGAATCCGATAAAAAGAATCGTAATTTATCGAAAATCCGTTGGCTTATTATATCTTTATGGTGCTCAAGATGAAATGGAATTTGGAGCTTATTTGAGAAATAAACGAATAAAGAATATTTTTACACTCAATTTTAATTCATCGAGTCAACGAAATAATAAATAACTGAATATAAGTGAAATATTCGATTTATAAAAATAGTTTAGGAATTATACATGTACCTACGCCAAACATAATATGTATTTTTGCTAATGTACTTACACGTTTCTATTTTTTTTTTTTCTAAGAATAAATTCTACGGTATTATTCATGTCAGAAATGACGTAAGTTAACATTCCATTCAATATTTCCTTATTTCTTGAAATGTTTTAAAACTTCGGATGTTTGAGAGACCGTACGTGTTAAATTTCAAATAAATTATTTTACAATTTTCACATTTCTTTTTCTTCGTCATTTTACACGTGGCATATAAATGAATTCAAATACACACAATTTCAGCTTTGCTACGAAGGGGATGGAATCAGATAAATTTTAGATAAAATAGGATTAGAGTACGATAAGAAGGAAAGATAGAATACTCCATTAAGGACCATTCTCTTTATTTATAGGGGAATTTAAGAGCCTAAATGTCCTATTTCCATGGAAAAACTTTCCGGGCACCATTTCATTTGCATAATGGATTGCAAGGGAGAAAAACGTAGATGATCGAGAAATGTAATTTAAACTACATAGTAACGTATTGGTATTTCACCGCTTCTTAGAAACATTCGATTAAACATTTTTTTTCTTTTTTTTTTACGCAGTACTTACTAATTATCTAAAGTGTACAACTTTTAAAATCTTTTTGTTTGACATCAACTAAAGGTGTATTCCATGAATTGTATATGCATCGTGTGATCATTTAGTCAAAATGAATTATTTATAGTTGAAATTATGCTGAAACATGCCTTGCGTTTGAATATTTTACTCTATCATCGTTTCTTTTCCTTTTTATACTTCTATCATTTTCACGAATAATTCTTTGTTCGATATATTGATTTCGTTCATTATTACAAAATACGCGTTGCTAGTAAACACCCATTGAAGCGAGATACTTTATTTGCACTGGACTCCTAAACTGCGAACCCTGATGTCCTTATCGTTCACAGAACAAGTATTTAGCACTCTCCTTATCCTCCACAAGAAGTGTTAAGGACTCGCCGAAAGTCTCGAATTGTCCCTCGTAAACTTTGCGCAGATAAACACGCGTAAGAGACAGAACAACTAAGAACACTCAGAATGTTTGAAACTTTCGTCAAGGACCAGGAATACTCGCAGTGTGGATTAATACTCTTGCACTACTATTTCACCTAGACTGTACAATCGGATTCAACTATTCCCATTCTGCTCAAGGATTCCCAAATTCTCCATAATGAAACAGATCGCAGATATTAATAAGAAAATAACAAGAAATAATATTTTCAGTCTAGAATAAAAGATTGTTTATTAGCTTTGATGTTGAAAGGATTTCTAATACTATGAAGAAACACTTTAATACGTTACTGAAAATAAGATACAGAAAATACATGGAATTAATCGTTACAGATATTTTTTTGGATGACTGAAACACAAAAGCACATACAATATCATAGCTGCCACAGATAATTGTCTGATTTGGCTTTGTACATTTTACAATTTCCGAAAAAACAAATTAAAGTAGAAGAAATGTGTCGTTGTAGTGAACTCGATCTTTTCGTACACTGAAAATTGAAATGAATATGTGTAACCCACTATCTGCACTTATTTAATTAAAAATGTACATACAACGTTTTCTGTTCTTTTTGTAGTTACCAATTTTGGCCCTGCGAGGGTCACTCCACAAGAAGAAACGCAACCCAAGGAAGAAACCACAACAGAAGCAATGAAAACGTAAGGTTCTTTTATTGTCAGTCTTTTAATTAAGGAAATTTTAACGTTTCGAGTGTTTTTTTAATTGTAGAATTATATTAGGAAGCACGTTAGGGTAAATTACAAATGCATCATTGTATCATATAACAATGGACATACGTTTAAAACCAAAATTTTATTCGAACAGACTGTCCATGCTGAAAAAGAAAATTGTTTATTTGCATTCAAGAAAAGACTAGTTACTGTATTACATGTGTACATTATTGCATTATCTTAAAGAACTAAAAATCCCTTTTACTTACTTGCTCTTTTCTTGATTATAATATTTAATAAACAAATGTTTAAATTTAGCAGGCATATATTCAACGATGAATTTGAAACAAGTATTTTTTTTCTCCAAAAATTGTATAATACTTCTTTAAAAGTATTTGGCGTACGTTACAACGAACCACCCATTAATAATTGCAGTAATTTCTAGCGTATTGTGCTCGCGGCACCTAATTAACGGTTAATGAAGATAGATATCTGCCTATCCATTACGCGGGAACTGAAAATAGTAATTAAGTGCAATTTAATTTTCAGAATAGAATGTCTACCCAGTACACACATAAAGAAGTAACAGAAATTTTGTGAAACTATACGAAACACCACCTGTTTCTCTTTGAGTTCATTGTGTACTCATGACTACAAAGATTAATGGATGAACAAAAATATTCACTTATCAGAATTTTTGTTACATTTTCGAATAAACATACATTGCACGAACTCTTTCATCACATTTCGTACTTTCACTTATTCATTATTACGTAGAATTTTTCGTTCCATAAAAAGTTGTTTATCTTATAATCCTTATTCGGGATGTTTATCCAGGCCAGAATTTTGCTTGCTTCTGCATAGGGAAATAAAAAGTTTGCAGCTGTCAGAAAAATTTATCGAACTCAAAAATATTATGTTATGTTGGCACGCCGCAAATTAAAACGTATCGCTAAACATGAGCCAAATTCGAAACTTCAACAAACTTTAACTGGGATGTTTCAGGAAGTCGAAAACTGGAGACGATTGCAGAGTTTGCCGGAAGTCCATCGCACCTGAGGAAGCTTCGAGAATTTGCTGCGAGTGTCAACACAAAGTTTGCGAGGACTGCGCTTGCTATTCGACGACAACCAATTCGGATGATCCGGTGAGACTTACGAATACCTAATTACTACACTCGTAAACACGTGTCGATTAACCTTTAATTATACAACATGTCTCTAAAGATTTCTGAAACTAAAAGCGGAACGTCAACCCTTATTACGATCTAACTATACGATAATCAGAAAGATACACTGCGGAGCACAACTATAGCACCACCTATATTTTTTAATGTTTTATGTTCATGTTCCAATTTCTTAATGCTTAACTTTAATGTATTGTATTATTGGTATTGAGCATCAGATGAGATGATAATCAAATTAGCTACGTAGAGCACAGGTTTGAATATTTAAGAAATAGTAATCAGCGTCAACGAACTTTTCCAAGACGTAGTTTACGCTCTCGATTTATTGCCACTTTTAATTATCGTTTTTCATTTTATGTCTACCTCGAATACTCCGTAGATTCTTTAAAAGCCCGGCAATAGACTAATGGATTACGCTCCAATTTATCCTAACTCTTCATGCCAATCTTCATTTTCCATCTACGTTTTCTTTACATTTTTTTTTTTTTCATTACTTGATTCAGGATCCTTTATTTCTCTTATTTCGTTATTCTGCATTTCTGTACAATCCGATTATTTTTCCTCTACAATAGTTCGCATTATGGAGAATTATTTTCTCTTACTCGATAACACATTCTCTCTTTGCTTTCTACGTTCAATTTCGTTACCTTCATTTACTCTTATTTTCCTAGCAATTTCTCCGGTGTAATTTGTTTTTATATATTTCTCGGATCATTTGTTTATCATATTTTCTTTCCGTTTATTTCTTTTCGAGGACGTATATACAGGGTGTCCTAAAAGTCGGGGAGGAGCCGGAAATGGGGGGTAGCTGAGACACGATTCTGAACAACAATTTCCTTTGCAAAAATGTCGGTGGGGGCTTCGTTAAGGAGATATTAAGAGAAAACCCCGACCAATCAGAGCGCGCGTAGAACGTTGGAGCGGCCGCGGTAGCGAAGGCTACGCGCTAGGTCGATGCTTCGATGCACGTCGAGTCACTTGTTCGCGTGCAAGCGCGGTCACCAGCGCGTAGCCTTCGCTACCGCGGCCGCTCCAACGGTCTACGCGCGCTCTGATTGGTCGGGGTTTTCGCTTAATATCTCCTTAACGAAGCCCCATCCGACATTTTTGCAAAGGAAATTGTTGTTCAGAATCGTCTCAGCTACCCTCCATTTCCGGCTCCTCCCCGACTTTTGGGACACCCTGTATACGCCCTTCGCAGTCAAAGGTTTAATATGAAACCGTCCAATTTATAGGCAGTCTATTCATTCAGAAATTTCTTCACGAATAAACAGAATTTTGTGCATTAGTTTTGAAATCGTTTAACTCTCTTTAAGCATCCATGTTCGTGGGAATACATTTTTAACGTAATTGTTTTCAGTCGTCCTGGCGATGCAGCGTATGTCGTAGAAAACTTGCGTCTCGGGACCAGCCAATTGTGACACAGGAATCGACGGATTCTTTGCTGGAGGTGCCGGTCCTGGAGGCTCTTCAGAGAAGACACAGCGAGGCGAGACTCGTCTGTCAAACTGGAAGTCAGATTGGAGGACTTGGTACCGGATTGGCACCGCCGAGAAGTCCAGAACTGAGAAGGCATTCAGCTGGGTCGCCTGCCAGTTTGAAAGAACTCGAAAAGGTAAGTGAGATTTGCTCGATGTCTTGACATTATGCTTTTCGAATGTCCTTCAACAACGAAGTCGAAATACATTGCGAAAATCATTTTCTGAATCGTATTTGCTTCGATAAGCATTTTCGCTTGATAGGTTAGCACGCTGACTGCCATGGTAATTTCAAGAAAATTAATTATTAATTTTCTTATATGTATATATAGTGTTTATGTGTATCTTGAGGATCAAGGAAATATTGTTTACTTACAATTAGATATAAGGGAGTGTAATTTCCTTTTTAATTCATTTACATGGATCATTTTAATTATGTTTATGTAAAACTGAAAAGTTTAGTCTTTATTAGAAAGAAGAAACTGTTTTATTTTTCGAAAGTACAATTTCGAAATAATTGTTTTAAGGTTCGTTTCAAAAGTTCGGAAAGAGTATTAAAAAACAATTGATGAGCTTCAATTGACTAGATTCTTCAGACTATTCAAATATCAATCAATCCAAAAATCACAGATCACCGACGATTCATTATTCGAACGAATAATGCAACACAAATAATACCATGCATTGTCATTATCCAATAGAATTCTACAATACCTTGCTCAACGAATCGATTATCCCAGAATTCTTAAAACAATTTCGGATAGTCATTCACATTAGCAATGGTAAATGCTCCTACAGCCATTACTTCCTTAATTTTTAATCCAATGAGTACTTGTTAGTGCGGCCGTTGCAGAAACTCTTGGTTAAGCTAGTTAAAATAAAGGTATTTGATTATTAGTTTAAGTTATGAAAAAACCCAGAGTGGTTCTCAAGAGGAACTTTTAGGAAATCGGCTTGGCAGTTGGCGTGTTGAAAGAGTAGACTGCTTATTAGAAGCTTGAGACTACCACCGTCGCTACCTGCCAGAGTGCTTCAAAAGTATGCCACAAACTAGAACATTCAAATTCCTTCTGTCAAAGGAAATTTAATAATCCTGTACTATTGTACCTCCATTTTGGAGTTGTAAACAACTATTGTAACGGAATTCTCTGGAGGCGTGCTGCTTTTTTCGGCCGAGTAAGCACACGGCATCAATTACATGTGCGCAAAATACATGGTTAGTAAATTGAAGCTAGATTTCAAAAGCAATGAAAATTATGCATTTATATATTCTTTGGTTTATTCTTGTTTTAACCAAATCGCCTCTGGAGAAAATAATAAGATATTTTAAAGCAGAACTGTGGAAATTTTAATTAAAATAAGGAGCAACTACTTGAAATAATATATTTTCGACCGTTATTTTCAATACATTTATTTGAAAATAAAATTAATATCAATTCATTTGAAGTAAAAGCTATTTCAAATTACCAATTATTTCGTTTCTTTGTTATTTTAAATTTAACCAAAGAAATAATTTTTCAAATATTATGCAACAAAGAGAATTTATTTGAAGAAATCTTTACAGCAATTGGCTTTCACTGACTCCAGAATGAATAATCTGAATTTCGCCGTACACGCTCTTCTCGAACAAACTTGATATAAAAATGGGAAAAAGAACACTAAATGAAAGCATATGGAACGATTTACTTCGTTTCGCTTTTAGTAGTCTCAAACTTATAATCGGCAGTGTATTCGACCTATTGTCTTCGATTGTTCGGCCATCAGAATTATAAACCCTTCCAGAGCTGGTGGCAAACGATTCGCGGTCGAAAATTGAATATTCCTAGCAGTCATGCTTTCGTTATTTTGGCAGTATGCCAGAAAATATCTGGCGCGTTCGCCGGCAGCGATTTTATTTAGTTTGAATGTTGACGTGGGCTATTTGTTTTGCAATATAGTTCTCTACGACTGAGAGCATGTTTATGTATGTCGGTGCCTTACGCTTGAAACGTACGCTTTGTTCTGTTTCCTTTTTCGATCGCTAAATCGTGATTCGATAACTTTATTGTGCAATCATTTACTGTAAAACAATTCTGTATAATACGTTCACAAGTTTATGTCACAATACCGTGTAGCCTCGAAGGGTTAATTCAGTCGTAAAGAAGGAGAATAAAATCTTTAATGTTAAGTATTATGAAAGTTTAAATTTATATTCAGGATGATTGCTGAGACAAGAAATTTTTTTTTTTAATTAATGGTGCCATTTGGGCACATCTCTACGTGTTAACAATAAAGTAAAAATTCTAACAACGCTGAACTTGAGAAATACTTTCATAATCTTGAAACTCCGATGGAAATTTCAAGCATTAATGAAAGAAATTTAAACAGTCTGACCGTGGAACGATTTTTGCTGGAAATTCTACCGGTCGTACTACTGCCAGGGTCGCGTTCGTAGTTTAAGCGCCCCGCCCAAGTAGATGAAAAAATGTTTCCTTATAGAGAATGACAAGACGAAACTTTTTTATAGTTGCAGTTTATTCATCCGACGTTTAGTATAACAAATAAAAATTAAAAACTTAAAAGTCTTTTTCCCCGAAATTCTACTTCTTGCGAGTTCTACTTCTACGGTATAAAAAAAAAAATAAAGAATTTTCCCAACGTATCTCACCGTAATACTCGATGCTCGTTTATGTTATTTGTCTTACGACAGTCGCTAATTGTAGCAGCGCGACGCGAGGTGAAGTGCACGTGATAAAAATTATTCTGGAAACGTCACGTGATAAATTATGTTGTGTGCTTACTCGTTGACCACGTGCAGCAAACGTATAAATTAGAAGTACGAAGTATGTGGCCTTCGCACGAATCCCAGTGTTCTAGTCGGAATACAGAATGAAGATACTAAACGAGTTACGGTTGGTACAAAAAAATGAGAGATGAAAGGAGTTTGAGGAAGAAATTGCTTCGAACGGGAAAGTCCTTCGAGAAACGTTACGTTCGTTGTGGTTTGGAAAGTTTCCACGAAGAATCGAATACATTGCGAAAACGAGTGAACTTTCTGCGAACTGTGATATTCACATTCGTGTATTGTGTTCGTTTCTGAGGAATTAGAGCCCTCCGTATCCAAATCTCCCTTATTCGAATAGCCTAATATCCGAACTGCGTAAACAAAACTTTTTAAAGCGGAAGTCTACCTAGGACGGTTCAATAAGGGTGCATATTCGTGAATTCTTTCAACCCTTTGTGGCCGACGACTCTTTCGCAAATATGTCAAGCGTCTTACAAGTAAAACGTTATATTTTGATAGTTTGTCTATATTTACACCTTTAAGAATATAACTTCGCAAAATTAAGATCTGTATTTTACTTTGGTACGATAATTTATGAAATATTTCTATGAATATTTCACTAACCGTACTTATGGTTTTCATTCCTACCAGCAGACAATATTACTTTACGAAATTTATGGAATATGAAGTTCCTTTATGGGCTCGATCGTAATTTCCCTTCTCCCGTATTCGATGATTTCATAAACTCGTCGATGTGCTATTAGTAGTTTTCGAAACTCTGCACCATATGTGGTATTTTTATTTAACGATTTATGTATCTCTGACCGTCTGAAAGTCATTGTTATATCGCGAAATCTAAAATTATCGAAAGTCTAAAGGACTTTCTATTAAGGAACTAAAAAAATAAATTTCAAAGGTCAGACAGTAATGAAAATAAGTCTGGACAGATTTCGTGAATTCGGCGACGTTAAAAAATCAAATGCTACGATAGATGTTCAATTCAATAATCTACGATAGTCTCGAGACAAAATTTTAAGTGTATAGAAATTTTCACGAGTTTTAGCTTGGCAGCCAACGTGATATACATTTTTTTTTTCTGTTCCTCGATTACGCCGAGATGACTGGACCAATCGGGATGAAACGTTTTGCATCTTATAGAGCATGTACTCAAAAATGGCAAAAAGAAAGTTAGCAAAAGATATCACGTGATGGCACCCCTCCTGCTCGTCGCCTTCGACTTGTTTATGCAAAGTCGATATTCCGCTAATGAAAGCAGGACCACCTCAGACAACAGATAAAATACGTTGCTCATAATCGCACGCCGTAGATTCTCGGCTGGGGGCTCTTTTAGAGACGTAAGACGAACTTTTCATAAAAACATCGCCGAAATGCGGCACAGACGTTAATATACGATAACATAAGAGACGACATTATTTATAGGATCACCTGATATTTTCGATGTAGCGATGTACTGGCAATAAAAGACTTCTAAGAAACTACTGAATGGCAGAGAATGAGTAAGAGAACGGTTGACTTTCGATCGTAAGAATTTATTGGAAATCGTTTTTGTTGGTCGGGAGAAGAATCGACAGAATCTCATTTCATTGGAAACGACTGCGGAAACGAAAGAAAGTGGAATGAAATTGAAATCAGAGACGAAGCTGTGACGGGGACGCGACGTGGAATGGGCGTCTGTTAAAGGAGATACGGAAATCGGTCGAAAAGGAATGAGAAGGAGGTCGGGAATGAGAATTCTAGGTCTTTAAATCTTTACCCGGTATATAAACGGAAATTAGCGGTTCGCAACAACGAAGGATCCGTTTCAACTCGTGTAACAGAAAAAGTTAAACGATATACGTACTTGTTTCCTATTCTTTTCTGTTGCGCCCAATTCTTATAAATTCGTTTTCCGTTTAACCCTTTGAACGCGGGACAATTTTTTCTGGAAATTCTAAGAGGGCTAGAGACGCGAATTTAAAGAAAATATCAGCTTACACGGAATCATAAAACGGAACATTTTTCTATTTATACAGTTGCATGCAAAAGTTTCCGGTGAAAAATAATTTTGGAATTAAATTATGTATAATAGGTGTGAAGTAGAAATACAAATATATCATAGTAAAGAGCTATATACATAACTATACGTAATTTAATTCAAAAATTATTTTTCACCGGAAACTTTTGGATGCAACTGTAGTTTAGAAGACCTTTTTCCTTGAAATTCAATTCTTGCAATGAAATTCTAACATTTTAATTTCTATTTACGAAACTAGTACCCTATAAGCTGATATTTAAACAAAAAATTATTTCCACAGTATTTTGTTTACAATAAATCCTCATTTTTCGCGTAAAGAATTCACTGTATCCTTTATAATAAACATGTTCCATTTTCGTTGGATCATTTTGTTTACGCAACGAAATGCACACGTGGAATATTCGAAGAGGGAATAGGGAACCGAGGAAGGAAAGGATGAACTCGAAAGACACGTCTTTGGGAAAACAGAGTCGCAACTATTCTGACATCTCGTAGCAGTTCGTCGACCACCCAAATAGAAAACACGATCTCAGTTTTCAGTGATACGATACCAAAGAATATATGTTTTTCTAGTTAGAAAAGAAAGGCAAAGGCTTTAAAAAGATGCGGAAAAATAAAGTTGGAGAAAAAAGATTTCTTCCACAACATTGCTCATCATTTCAAAATGACGAAAATCGTGTCATAAACAATGTTCGTATATCAAAAACACATGGGAGATATTTAGGTGGCCTCGTTCAGTTGACACACTCCGTATAAGTAAACGTCTTTTTCCGTTTCCGCTAATATTGATTCTGGACGATTAATTCCGAGGCACTCACGGTATGAGCAGAAAGTGATCACTCGGAGCTGCGAATAAAAAAATGCACGTTCGATCGATACCCGCACTCGTAGCTGTCATTGTCGATGCTCGCGATGCGTGCACGTGAATTGCAGCCGAACACCGCGATAATACCTCGCGACAAATTTATCGGGTCTAAAGCGGGGGCTCGAACGGGTGCAATTAGCGATGGGAATCTCAAAATTAGATCCCCCGATTCCGTTAAAATCTGACGCAATTTCCCCGATTACACCTTCAATTGGATCAGCCCGTTTGCACGCTCGAGGCACTCGCCCCGAAATTCGCTTATCGATCGAGCACAGGCTAGGACAAATGCCAAAGCCAATTAACAGGGAGGAAGAAAACAATAATTCCCTTTCGCGAATCGGATCGTGTCACGCGCAGACACGTCTGTTTGCCGTAAATAACGAATTTCCTTCGAAATCGTTAAATGGCCGTGCGTTTCGTTCTGACGCAGCGACATCGACGTTCGGCGTCGTCGGGAAAAACGGATTTGCTGCATTTACATCTCCGCGGACGTCCTGTTCCGTCGAGCCCTTTCAATTTCAACACGGGAATGTCGGTGATTTTCCATTCCCAACAATGACTGACGTCTGTTGACAACAACCTGTACCGATGCGATGCGGGGCTGTAGTGCGTTACTTTATTATATTAACATCTCAACGCACGTGGTTTTTTTTTCCCCACTTCAATGATCGAATATGATCAATGTTTTATTTGTATTGCAGCGTAGTTCGACAATTTTTTACTAAATGTTTGTTTTCGAAAATTAAACGGTATAAGGATGAGAGAAATATACAGGATCTACTCGTTAAGTTATGCCATCATTTTTTAGGTATTTCCGGTAGTGCGATCAACATCCATATAAGTATTTAGATTAATTCTTTTGTACGAAGGAATAATTGCATCGGATTTAATATTTCTACGTACATACACATTTTGTATAGCGTAGCTTAACGATATACGTATATATTATTTTACCGAAGCAATATTTTGTTCTTATCTTTCTTTCGTTAAAAGAAATATTATGCTAAGGCAGTAAACTATACATGTACAACTCTATATGACAATGTTTATTAAATTGCCTATGCACGTATATATTATACATTTATAAAGGAAACAAATCATTTTTCATACCTTCTTCTCATATATTAAATACCTTCCAGAAGAACCATTAAAACGGTAATAGCAACAATCAATACCCACCATAACAAGAACAAAATGAAACTTAAAGTTATGAAAGAAGAAAATGAGTACCAAGAAGAAAGCTGTTGCGCACTATCAGTTTTTTATAAGACTAACAAGGGAAGTCTGGCAACTCGGAAGTTCAAAAGAATGCGAAACTTTGCGGAATTGTAGCTCAAGTGATGCTAATAACGCAATTTATTTTTTTCGGGAATAAAACGGTCCTAAGGGTGAAAACACCCACTCAAAGGAATCGTGAGTATTCGTGTTATTTTTAATATCTGCAAAACTACTGAAGGCACTGAAAGAAAGTTTCATTCGAAGTTTCATTGTTCTCTATATCCTCGCGATAGTAAAGAATTTTATGAAACGAAAGATTTTTTACGATTTCGAAGGGATTCGCGATAATATGAAAATTTCCAATTTCTTTGAGGTTATTTTTTCATTTCTAGGGCATTTTCATCGATTAAAGAGAAAGAATTTAGAAGAAAGAAACAATTTTGGCCGCGTGAAAATTCTAACTATATCCAATAATTTTTGTTTCGAGAACGATTGACTCGATAAATAATTAGTTTGCTGAAGTTTATCATAGATATATTGACTAATAAAGAAATAATTTGTATTTAAATTTTAACGTACGAATGAACGTCTGAAGTCAACAAAACAGATACTCATGTTAACACGAATTAATGCCAGCATCACTTTGAATAAAATATATTTTATTTGTGTAAACTACAATTACCAAAGATACTAGTAACAGTGAGTTTAATTGCAATAAATAATAACAGATATTAAATATTATGAATTTGATAAATGTAAACTCGCTCACTCATTTGTTTATTAAATACAAATTTTAAACTGCCTTTAACATTAATCTCGTTGCAATTTCTGTGTTTATAACATTATATATAATGAACAAAATATGTCACTTTTGTCTGTAAGCTATTTTTATTTCTCTCTTCCATTTCTTTTCAAACTTTAAAGAGTCATAATCCATAATTAATTGAAATGTGCCTCGCTAACGGTGTTTGTATTAACCAGCAGCGAAAATCAATATTTATTCTGTTTCATTGAATTCGTACCACGTTAGAAGTTTGTCGATTATACAACGGTAGTAAATTAATCCATAATTAATTGAAATGTGCGTCGCTAACGGTGTTTGTATTAACCCGCAGCGAAAATCAATATTTATCCTGTTTCATTGAATTCGTACCACGTTAGAAGTTTGTCGATTATACAACGGTAGTAAATTAACGTAGTACTTTCGGCAACGGAAAAGTAAATTTAAATTATGGATACTTATTACGCAGTTCGAGCGAGATTAATCACTCAAAACGTAACCATCGCTACTTTTTTTTAGATCAAATCTAAAAATTGATATTTTTATGAAATTCTCAACGCTGGATTTAACGACGTAAAATTTAATTTGAAAGAAAAAATTATTTCTGTCATTTTTAAATGAAATTTTCAGACAAGATAAATGTATCGGAAAATCTATACCCACCGTTATTTATTTCATAATGAACCTATCAGGTCGAAGTTCCGTTTAATACAGTTTCAACGTGTGGAATAAATAAAATAATGATATCCCGATTCCCTTTGTTGATTATCTCATCACATGGATTAGTTTCAGAATGAGGTAAAATGTGTTATAAAATTAATTTTTATACATTTAAGTCTAGGTAGGTCTAGTTAGGCTTTGTTTCAAAATGAAGGAACACCTGTTATGAAATGGGTTTTTATAGAATTAGGCGCGGTATAAAAAGTTCTACAGAAGTGTAAATTTTCGATATCGTATCTATAATGATACTAGTAAATTATTTTTGTATGAATACCCCTTCTCAACGTTTTCAATGCGATATAAAATTGTATAATTGAGTTTCACATTAATGACCTTCGTTAGGTTTCAGGAATAAATTTGAAATTCAACTGAAACCATTTCGCTATCGGAGCAGCGTCATCTTTTCTCAAGAAGAAGAGAACACATTATACCTACAGAAACGAAAACTTTTCTTAAACGTTCCACTTCTGAAGTTGCTATTTCACGCAACGAACCAACCCTTTTGTAATAATGAAAAGATTTTATAATTAGGTGAAATGTTACGGAATAATCTGCTACCTTGTCTGCCACTAATATTTCCTTTTCTTTCGTTTGCGAGATGCAATTGATTTAAAAGTTTAAGGTTCAGATTCGTTACGATAAATCAAAGACTCTCTCTCGTTAATGAAATAAGTCGTGCATGGAATTATCGAATTCGTTAAGTCACCCAGAAATTCTCATTCTAGCTTTTTTTTTAGTCTTTGCTGATGGATGTCAAGCATTGCGATTTTAATTACGCCTTACATTATAATCGAGCGATTCTTTATCGAGAAATTGAGAAATACGCTTGAGAATAAGTTTTTAAAATCGATTCGGTAGTTCCGGAGATTATCTCCTGCGTACAAACAAACAAACTTGACTTCTTCGTAACATTATTAGTATAGATATTAGTATAGATTGTACATATATCCCAGGTATCTGCAATAAACATTTCTCTCTTCACCTGTTTTCTGTAACAAACTAGATAAGGTTCGAAGTGTGTGTCGAGAAATATTATTAATTGAAAGAAAACTGTCTAGCTGTCACTGTTACTGCTTATCATTCATTGTTTTCCAGACGTATCAGACAATTTCCCTTCGATCCAAAGCTTGATGTGTGAGTGTACAGTTTTCACCCCGATGTGAGCATTGTCACGCCAACTCCTTCATACTTCCATCACGCAATGGTGTTGTTCCATGGGAGGCTCTAATATATGTGTCGTAATGTTATAGTTTCGAAAGGTTGCAGGGGAACGCCGCGAAGACCTCAGGTGGGAAAGGGATTTGGATCGCAAGAGCAAGTCTAGGGCAACGTCACCGGATCGCCATCAGGTCGATAGGGGAAGAGGTACCAGTCCCCAGAGGGTTGGCGTCGAACCTTCTTCCATCGTAGGTAAGGATACTTGTTCGCGATTTATAATTCTTTGTTTTCCACTGCATGAAAGTTATGTTATCGTTACGGCCACAGTTTCCTCCTTCCCGAAGGAAACTTCTTAGCGGATCGGTGTGAGAAGGATTATTATTTCTGATTTACTGCTACTTTGCGTGGTCTCTCTGCGACGGTGATTCTTACTTTCTGTGGCAGTGAATATAGTGTCATTCCATCGTGTCAGAAAGCATTAAGAGGACATGGCACAGTAACATTTTAAAAAAATCTATTTTTCCCGAAAGGATAAACTGAAAGCATAAATAATGCGTTTTATATTACCTTCTTTGAAATTCCTTTTCCCTCTTACCCTATTTATTTTACTTTATACCGACTAAAAAGTACGAAAATTAGTACCATGGTAAACCAGTACGGAGCTTTTACGTGAATTTATTGTTGATATTAGAGTTGATCATTACGACACGCAAAGAACGAAGCTAATCAGAGCACTTCGAAACATCGAATTGTATTTACCTTTGGCTATGGAAATTATAATCTCTGAACCAACTATTCTGACTCGTACGTGTATTCGTAACTTTCTGAGAAAGTGTAATTTGAAAATAGAAACAAGAAAAGATTACCGAGACTTAGTTTGTTCAAAGTAATGTAAAAATGTAGAACTGTACAAAAGAAAGAGCGTTCCTTTAAATATATAAAATTTTTGTAAAGTTATTGTATTATTATTATATCATATATATTATAGGCTTTCATTAGGTGGACACAAAGACACCCCTCCTCCTCTCCCGTCCGCCTCCTTGGTAGTCGTTGCAACAAAGAAAGACTCGTTATTGCAAGCGGCTTAAAGTAAATTCCTTTGGTCGTAATGTCAACAGATCCCATCGAAGTGGACGAGGAAGAGGAACGTCGTAGCCGAGCTCGCCGAGCCAGTACTGTTCGCGTTAAATCTCGCATGACTAGGCAAAGGTCGTACGACGACGAGATGAAGAACATGATCGCGATGTCCGGGGTTGCCGGACACCACGAGCATCAGGAGCCTTGCCTGAGGCCTCCGACGAATCTGCCGCGACGAGCATCAGCTTATGACTTTTATGCAACCTCAAGTGTCATCGCGGCTGCCCAGCAGAGAGCATCGATCTCGGCCCAAGGTAGAACAACTTCTTCGTTATATTTATGGAGTGCCCTAGAATCTAAGTCGGCCATGGTCGACGTCTTTGTTTTCATGGCACAACAGATAAAACCACTAATTATCGAATCCGATGCGTTCTATCGGCGATGGGCAAAGTTCTGGTCTAGAAATACATCTCTAACAACGAATAAAAGAGAGGCAAATTCTCGTTCGTTACTGGTTGAAGAAAGATTCGAATATAATAAAATTAGAATTACGGAATTGCAAGAGCTATTATTCATTACTTTCGGTGTAAATGTAATTCTTTCCAACGTTTCGTGTCTTGGATTCGAGTCCCATGATTTGTAATTATTACAATTTGAGTTACAATTTTAAATCTCGTTCGTTTGGGAAGGATACAAATTAAAAGGATTTTTTCCCAAACAAAGATTAATGTTTGTTCTCTAGAAAATGTACGTGATATTCAAATAGATACAAGCGATAATCTTGTTTCGGATTTCATCAAACAGTTGTTTACTAGGTTGTTTGACTCGAGTGACACTTTCTATTACGCGAAATCGTTAACTTCTGTAAGTCACAATTTTCACTTAATTTAAAGTTATACCTGAGAGCAGTATTAGCTGCTCCTGGCAAATGCATGATCGTGTTATGCTTGGACCGTAATAGTTAACCATAGGAGAGTTTCAAAAGGACGTACACTGGATTATCTCCCTCGTGCCTTTTGCAGCCCTTACGGCTCAACGAAAGTCCTGCGGTCATGTAATCGTGTTTAGCTTCCTTCAGCAACTACAGTTTCTGGTTACTCTCGTATGTATCCATACGACAATCCGGGCCTAACTTCGTTTAATTTTGGTTGGATCTCTAACTCAAACTTTAATCCTCGTTGGTTGGAATATTTTGTAACGTTATCAATGTCGTTTTAATACATTTCTACGCGTAGCCCTTCGTATATTAAAATTCTTACTTTGGGAAAACACCGTAATTACATTTCGTTAATTCGTCGCACGATACGTGATATGCGATACGTCATGTTTGGAAACTTTCTGTTTTAATCCTTTGCTGTATCATGTCGCACATTCGTAACTTTATAACGTTTTCTAATATAAACATGTTGTTGGCGTAGATAGAAACACTTTCAACCCTCTCTGTTGGCCCTCGTCAACTGAGTATCTAAAACATCGATAGGCAATGATTATATTGAATAGAGAAAAGCAAGGTTGCATTTCTACATATACATGAGAAAAAAGATAGAATTATTTTTAATTGTAATCGCATGTATGTATATTGTTTAGTTTAACTGTTAGCTATTAATAATTTAGCTGAAGAGCATCCAATAAAGAGGGTCGAAAGCGTTTCTAAGTTTGTATCGAATAAGCTAAATACAAATACGGGTACAAGTCTAAACAGATAGTAGTTTCTAATCTAGCAGGCACATTCGAATATATATAATATAATATAATATAATATATAATATAATTAATGATTTTGTATATATATATATATATAATATAATATAATATAATATATAATATTATTAATGATTTTGTGTATATATATATATATATATATATATATATATATATATATATTCATCTAATTAATATAAAAAGTATCGATGTAAACAAATACATAGTAATACTAATAAGGTAAATGATTTTTCTTCATCTTGAATTTCATAGTTTCACGAAATCATAGAAAGCAGCGATCATTACTAAGAACACACGTTTCCTTTATCTATAAACGGAGACACCGTTCGTACATAGAGGAGTAACGACATGTTTAATTTAAGCAAACATTCAATTTACGTTCAGAAGCTGTGTACCAGTGGTGCTTGCACTTACGCACTTGGCACCGAAATGAAGCGTTAGACCCTCCAATGGAATTTAGATTACTGCCGTAACTATTTGCCACAGTGACTACGTCCATGGATCTACGTGTACATTCGGTTCAAACGACTTTGTCCGTACTACTATAGTTGCACGTAAACAGCGGTGGGAGAGGTGGTCCATTCCTAATCGCGTTTCGGTTATTATGCAGCTGGTAATGTGCATGCCAGACGCGCGACAATCCAAACACGTTTAGAAAAGGATTCCTTCCGAGGTGATTTTGTGCATTTGCAGTAATGAGAACCGAATCGTACGAAATCGGTGTACATATGTTACGTTCAAATGGAGGAATTTTCCTGATTCTACAGGGTGATCCGCACGCTAGTAGACACAATGGACAACCACAATAATAGCCGACCGTCATTGTAGACTTTATGACGGTGATCCCCGCAAAGAAAGCGGCTGTACGGGTGAAAATGTGTGTGTGCCGAGAAGAAACGTCCCTGAACCTAAAGATTAAACTTAAACATTTCATTCGCACCATCGAGGGTAGTTTTCACCCTTTAAACGTGAATATCAGTGGATATAAAAAAAATACGATAATACTTTTCGATGCTCGGTGTGTAATAGTTATATGTGTTCCTTGGAAGTTTGATTTCGTTGATTTCAAAGTGATATTTTTATGAATATTGACCGAAATTATACCCTTAAAGGATGGATGGATTAGGACTGTTTACAGAGTTCCAATTGTAGAATGATATTCACAGGATTATTTTTAGTATAACTTTATCGAGATGAAATTGTTTCATTCGCGGGAAAGGTGAGCCGTCTGTAAAGGGTTGATTTACCCAAGAAGTCGCGAGTTTATTCGATATCTTAACAAAAGAATAATATCACGCACGGTACTTTTATTTTCGTGGCTACTAATCCCCATAAATCTCTCCACTACTTTTTGCTATTATTTTATTCATGAATAATTGCGTAGAGCACCTGTTTACGTGAACGAAATTTTCTTTTTTTCAGGCAACAGGAAACCAGAGGAAAGACCGACCAGTCGGAGATCATCGTTCCGTGCAACAAAGCCAGTGATGCCGTACGAAGTCGGAGCCGAAGATGAATCCTTGATGAATCTGGAACCGACGCCTGTACCGGTGACCGTGGCTCAACCACCAGTTTTGGCTCCTGAAGAGGAACGACGCACCAGACGAAGAGGCTCTCAGTTGTAAGCATTGTATTATATTTTCCGAAAAGTATAAAATGTTGGTAAGATTTTTCTAGACGAAGTATATTATTCTTGGTGTTTAAAAAGTATATTTATTGCCTTTGAGACCATACAGTACTCACGGATATCTAGAATTACACTCGATGTGATATATTTTAATTTTAATGGGTCGGTATCATTATTATCCTACATGATTGTAATTTGTTCATTTAAATGTCGTAATTATACAAATACTCGATTAATTAAAGTTTCATGTACATTTGTATCCGAGTGATCTCAGTCATACATCCTTAAGATATTTCAAAAATAGTACTCCGAAATTGGAAAAAGAAAGTTACTGAAAGATACCACACAATTAACAATTACAGAATATAATTTTTCATCTAAACATGATATTAAAACACGTTATTGTGTAAACATATATTTAAAGTTCACAAAAGAGTTAATGAATCTTGTTTGTCGTCCACAATCTTGCATATTATGTATCACTGTACTTCGGAAATTCATTCCGACCAGTACGACACCCGTGTCTAACATTTAATACGACCGCAAAGGGGTTAGTAAAGTCTCGATTGAGTAATAATAAGGACTAATTAACGTCCTAATTCCTAAGAAGTAACTAAATTTATATTTCACGGTAAATAATTGATTATACTATTCGCATAGTATACACGAGTCGAGGTGATAATTGTTTCTGAGAAACGAAAGTAAGATCTAACACGCGAAGAAACATTAAGGTGTTAAAAAAAAGAGGTGTAATTCTCCGGAATCGTGTCGTGAACGCTAAATTGCGAGCATTTCCGCTGCCTTGGCTGTTCACTCTTTCAATGTGTTCCGCTCTTTTCTTCCCTTCTAAGGATGTGCTTGGCCGCGCAACCAGCAAAAAGTGGAGTAGATTGCAAACACGACGTTCCCGCCACTAGAGAAATAATTAATGCCACACCTATGCACGCAAGCCCTTGCGAACACGTCTTTCGTCTGTGGTAGCCCCGTTTCCACGATGTATGCGTCACCGCTGCTTCGTACAACCGTCTAAATATCCGCGGATTCTCATCCACGCGTTTCCGACAACGGTCTTATTAATCTCGAGTGAAATTACTCCGCGGTTTTCGCTACGTTAGCGAAATTGAAATTTAATACAGCCCCGTTGAAGTCGAAGACGAACTTGATCTTTAGAAAGTTGATACGAATTCGATCTAGAATTTTCATCGTTGGTAATCCTTTAGTATCGGGTTGCAGATCAATTTCTCTACAGTCTTGAATCTTAACTTCATACAAACGTAGTACCATAAACAATCCATACCTTCGTTTGCGTGAACGGCGATTTAAAAAAAGTCCTTCGAGGCCTTCAAAAGGATATAATAATACAGAACTTATTGTATCGAACAAAAGCTTGGTATCCGCCAACTTCGTTTCTTTAATTTCGTTAAAAAGAAGAAAGATCGAACAGTATCGTTTCTTTCTTATTTTTCTTCTTTAAATATGATGTTTTCTACAAACACGTTGTATTCGTTTTATTTTACGTTGTCTCAAGTATCAAGTAATATTAAATGCCAACAACACTATGGTTCTTCTATTATATGAATATTCACTTATCTCGACACTATTATCGCCCAATTAGTTCACGTAATGGAGTTCGCATACCGATTACTCATTCTGTTTCGATACAGACTGGTATGAAATTATTGTTTCGTTTTTCAACGCAGAGAAAACCGTTGGCGTTTAAGCTTTCTGTACGTTTTTAGCGTCAACGCTCAAGTACCGTCGCTTGCTTTTTAATTCGGATGTATTCAAATGGGATGCATCGATTGCTGAAAGCTAGCAGGTCGAGCAGAAACCTTGCGAAATTCCGTCTTTTACGACTTCAGCGCTTTTCGAGAACGTACCTTCTTAAGCCACTCGATGTTCTCGACCACAGCAAGAGCATTCTAAATCAGGCAGTCGTTTCAGATACTCGAGTCAAGAACTAGAGTAATTAGGATTGCGAAGGGGAGGGTAAGAATTACCTAAATGTGGGCTGTTGTTACGCTGATTGTGTTGCACTTCTGACGAGGGAAGCTAAAACTACATACTTACGTACTTCTATCGTACTTGTGTTCCATTTTACATACGGGAAGAAATTTAATCTTGTTTAAACTCGCCCGAGCGTGGAACCACGTAACCATTGTACTTATGCACTTCTATCGTATCAACATCGAAACAAAGTAGGAACCCCTTTAACGTCTGATTAGATTTGCATCTTTACAGAATGGAAATATTAGTGCGGTGATCAACTAACACTGTCGTGACGCAAGTTTTAAATCTATCAGGACTGAGGTGTAGTGAAACGTTGCGATGTACTCGTTAATGACACTTGTACAAATGTCATTGCAAGAGATGTCGCAAGCGAATTTAATTTACGTCCCGTAGCTATAATAGCGTAAACATGCAACGTGTAATTTGTTTGCATTGTGTCTCTGTACGTTGTTGTCACGATACTTCGGTATTAATTAACGGGGAACATAGAGTACTGGTCGAAACAATGTGGTTTGTTTGCCTTTTAATTTTGAGATTAACCATAGAACAAATTGTAAAGTGAAAGCAATAAATACCGTTTTCATGAAGCTTTTAGAGAATATTAGGTTTTCGTATTTACGCGTTTGTTCCAGTTATATTTCTGTTCGTTGATATTATTTAGGATATTGGTATTTATTGGTATTATTCATATATATATATATATAATACATATGTATGAGACGGATGGATACTTTTATTTAATTGTATGGATTCGGAATTATCATAAAAATCCATGTACTATATAAATTCTATTTTTCTTAAATGCGTATTTGCAAAGAAGCTCTTATATGAACTATTATTCAGTACTTCGGATACTTCATTTTTCTCTTTTTCTCTACCTTGTATTTCAGACCGGATATAAACACCATAAAGGCGTTGACATCCGCAGTTCCAGGAGCAGCAAAGGTAGCTCCATCGGTCGTAAACAGAGTTGCAGCCGAAGATCGCGAACTGGCACGACAGGGAAGTCTCGTGGATGGAGAGAGCATCAAAATCGTTATTCACCACGCAGACAATGATATGTGTAAGTATCTTCTGAAATATTCTTTCATTAAAATCCCCCATTTCTCGACAAGACGGTAGTTGTTTTACGAAACTTTCATTGTTTTCTATGCCCGAGGCGATTCGTCCGATAACAATATCTTCGGTTAACAATATCTCGGCGGTTTGAGGATATTCGAGGATATTCCTGTATAATATTGTTAGCGTAACTCGAATTACTGGGCTAATATTTCATCATTATTGATTTTATTGGAGATTGTTAAATGTAACAGTATTATGGTACCAAACTGACTTTTATTGATTGTTATATAAATTTTATTGTATCCTTTACTATTAATCCGCTTCAGTTTCAGTTAAAAGCTGCAAAACTTGAAATTTTCTATTTAATAAAATTAAGTGCGAATATTCTTCAAAAGTGTAAAATGATACGTTTGATTTTTCGGACATCATTCTTGCATTCCTTAATGATTTCTGTAACCTGAAACTTGGAATAACGCATACAAAAATATTCATTCGCCAGAAAATTGCGTCAGAAATATAATTCAAACTTTATGAAATAATCTTGAAAACCTTTTATCGTCGCTTTGTGTACTTTGTCTAATTGCATCTCTTTACAATACTTTATAAAACATACTATTTACATTTCTTTATAAAAATGCAGATATCTGTTTCGGCACGCTAAGGAAAGATTTTTAATTATTCAAGAATACATAGTAAGCCTACTCTTAAATATTGCATTGCTAATGATTCGATAACATGCCTATTTTGTTGGAAAATTAAATAACCCTGTATCCCGAATCTTTTATTATTCATTTCCAAAGCCAGTTTTCCATTTTTTTTTTTTTTTAGAAAACGAAAGAAAAGCATACAACGATATAAAATCTATTAACGATGAAGATACTCGTTTGCATCGGCGATTAAATTCTTTTAATCGGGAATCGGCTATTCCATTCCGTCGGCAAATGTTGTGGATACCTCTGCTCCAGGGGGTCAACTCTGTAACGACGTCCTCGTCTGTTAATGCGCAATGAAAAGCGGCGAATAACCTGTTAAGCTCGTTCCTTGTAACGAGAACCAGTCCTGTCGGCTTTGCGAACGCTATTCACGGAAACCGTTTAATTGCGACGAATCCCTTAACGTCACACCCTCGTGCAGCTTAAATAGCTCGAAGAATAAACGAAGCAACGAAGACAAGTGTAGGAAACGCTGCTCTAAATTCCACCTCAGATTGCACGAAGCACACGGATTTGCGGAAATGTTGAATGTCGATGGTCTCGAGATATTTTAAAAAGAAGTTGCAGATGACATATGTTATTTTAAATAGTTTTGTCACGATAACAAATATTAGACGATGTGAAGTATCCTTTCGTAAGCAACTTTCGTCCTTCTTCTGGATCGGGACAGAACTCTGAAATATAATGTTATTCGCCCGGAAGTGTTTGTGTGTATTTTTTCTTTCTTAAATAAAAAAAAAACTAAACAAAAATTCCAAATTTCATACGTGAAAGACCTATTCATAACAAATTTTCTCGATATGATTTTCCAGTTTACTGGGCCAAAATACACAGGAAATATATAGCGGCATTGAGTGTACAGAAATATTTTTCCATTTTGTAAACCACTGTTATTATACGTTTCTACAGAATCGAAATTGTGTTCTTCGTGACATCGTTGAAAACCACTTGTCTACTTTCCTTTCAGTTTCTGATAAAATTGCTGGGAGTCTGTGTCCATAACAGGCGGTATACCTTGACGATAATTCCGAAAAGACATCTAAAATGATCTGTTATCCCCAATACGAGAGATTCTATGGGAAATATTGCGAACGGAACGAACGCTACGTTCCGGCTCGTAAAAATTCTTTCAGGGTTGTGTTCCTCGATAGAACAAAAATCTATACGCGAAGGGATTTATCCGTAACGGTAAACCTGAGAGTGAAAAGAAAGTACCTCTCGGAAGGTAAACCTGATCTTTCGACGCAATTTCTGGTGGATCTGGCAGGATATGAAATTTGATCAGTCCGCAGGTAGATTCCTGAAAAGGTTGTCATAAATATTGTATGAGAAGCTTTTCTGATATAGCATCGGAGAAACTTCTATTTTAGTCTCGGACATGAAGATACCATCGTGTACATACATGTATCCCAGGTAGCTTACGGCAGTTTAATAGTCGTTGATTTTGCAATGGCGTATCATTATTCTCAACATACCTTAAAAAAAAAAAAAAAAAATATACACGTCGAATCGAGTAACCTCCTTCTTTTCGAAGTCGGTTAAGAAATAAAGAGTTCTCCAATAGAGGTCTGAGAATTTTGTTTTCACCCCTTGTTCTAACCTGGGACGTTTAGTTTCAAAAATAAAAATTGACGTTAACAAGGAACAATGAATAAAATGATTTGTAATCAATTCTTGCATTATTGGGTTATAAATTTATCGCTTTGCTAAACGGATAGCTATTTTTGTCATTTTTCGCGGTCTTCGAAAAAATTGGGGGTTAGCTAAAAAAAACTAGGAGATGTCGGTTCGCTTTCTGCCAGAATGAACATCGATTGAGAATGGAATTGAGGGTATAAACGAAATCGTCTTCACGGTACATCGAGCAAAAGTCACGCGTTTACATTACAGAAATGAAAGCTGGCAGAATCTTTTTTTCACCCTCCAAACATTCCACTTTTGTTACTATTTTACTGGACTGATATTAAACGGAAAACATCTTCGTAGCCCCGAAAGATGTTTACACTGATGTGGAAGAACTAAAAAAAAATTAATAGTTACAATAGTAATAATATTAATAAATCAATTGAAAGGTTTGCAAGTATGAAAAGCAAGTCTTGCTTAAAAATAAGCATCGGTGTATTTTGAGTATTTTTATAATAATGAATTAATTGTAGGGAATTGTATTTTATGTCGTTAGAAAATTTTTAATATTAAAATGATCATTATCGTTCGCGATTTTGTATAAATAATGTTGCTATCTTATTTTCCTTGGACAATAAATTTGTTTGCTTTCGTTGTTACGTTCCGAAAAAGTGTCGCCCAGCATTGCCGCGATGGAAGATTATGGCCTTTCGATTAGGTAGGCCACACGTCGTTCAACGGACGCTGAAAAAAGTGCAGGAGTTCCAATGAGAAGTTTTGCAACACCCACCGTATTCCTCCGGACTTGGCCCCTTCAGATTTTCATCTTTTTTCCGGTCATTCCAGAACAGTTTGAATGAAAAGTATCTAAAATCCGCGAAAGCTATCGAAACGTACCTCACAAACTTTTTCTTCGTGAAAAACCAGGATCTACCCTCAAAGCTGAAAAAAATAGAACAAAATTTTACCGGGAGCTAATTGAAAACGTTAAGTTTGTTTGTCTGAAAGGAAATTTAAAAAATGAAAAAGAAGTACTTACACTTCTCCTGAATTTCTTGTTACAGCGCCGTGGGTTAACGCAAAAAGGAGGATAAAGCTGAGAAGAGATCCAGCTTTAGACAAAGGACACAGGAGTAAGTACATGATTTCGTAACAAAACCTAATTGAGATTATTTACAAAAGATTCGGCTAAAATAATTCCAGTGGTATAGTTTTTACATACCTCTGTAATAAAATATTACGTATTATAATAATTCTGAAAGTACACACCCGTTGTAAGCGTTCATAACAAACGTTCACGTCATCCGTGATCGTCTGTTTACAACAGAGAGGCATTACCGACCCAATTATCCACCACGGTAAAAGCAAATATGGCAAAAATGCTCAAATTTACGCAAGCGTGTCTTTTTAACTGTTGGATTCCTAACATTTTAATTTACATTTTTCGTAATTTGGGCATCAGAAACTCCTAAATGTTGAAAAAAAGATCATAATTTGTGGTGTCTCAAATTAAAGTTTAACCTTTAATTCGATTAAAAGTTACGTTTGATTTAATGATTAAATAAGATCTCTAAGAACATCATGCTAATTTTTAGGTGTCTAGGTATTCGTTAAACCAATTGTCTGATGACATTGTTGACTAGAACAATGAAAAGCTTTATTTTTAAATTAATTTTCGCATACTTAAAGTGGTTTCGAATAGGATCAAGATTCGACAGAGACACGTTTATATACATCGTAGTCTCGCGCAGTCAGCGAACGAGATGAACGAGTTTAAACCAGGGCTGATAAAGAGCGAAAGCAATGAAAACAACCGCGTGCCCCTAGTAGGCGTGCGAATGACGTTTAATTACTGGTTGCCCTTTCAGACAGGTTTGCTCACTTTTCATTTCTCTAGAGCTGTGGAGTGGATTGGTTATCACACCGCGTCAGAGAAACGCATCTGATATACAGGGTGATTCGAGAAACTCGGACAACTTTTGGCTATTTTCTACGA